AGTGTGAGCTCAGAAGAGCATCTCAGGACTGAAAACAAGAGACTGTAGATTCAGTTGACTATTCATAGTTAGACTCTTTCTAATCAAAATACTTAACCTATCCACTAAACTGTAATACCAGGTAGCATCACTTTTACCAGTGCATATGTAAAGAGAAGAGGATGTAAGGATAAACAAAATGACCTTTGCTGCTTTGCTTTTATAGAGTCACTGTTTAAATGTGTTTGAGAAGAAAAGTTATAGAAATTACAATAAACATCCAAATGATAATACTGTTTGATGATCATGTATAGGTTCTGAGTGTCATCCAGAGCATGGGAAGTGCTACGATAAGTATGGATTTGTGAGGAACATTATAATTCTGAAATATCTCTGTGGTTTTCTAGGCTTTCTCTGGGATGTTTTTTATGCAGCCTGTGCCTGATTCATGAAAATGAACATTTTTCCTTAGAAAGGCTTGGAGGAATCTGTGGCCCAGACAGGAATTGATATTGGGTTATTGATGCACAGAATTCAGATGATGATTGAAAGTAAAACTCCCTTTAAGCAGGGCGTGTCTAAGGAAAGCCAGGAGTCATGAATGAAGTTCACGAAGACATAGTTACTCACTAATTATTAGAAAAGGCTGTCTACCTTCTTTTGGAGAGTAAGTTCTGTGTCATATACCCTCTCCTGCCACTTGTTCATATGCCATACCGATGGGTTAATATGACTCCACACCGATGGGGCAATATGAATGTAATGCATGGATTCTGATACCATAATGTCTGCACTTATTTACATGACAACAGAACTAGAAGCAGCTATAGGTTTTTGAAGGAAATTAAATATGTTAAATGTAACCATTCAAATTAAGAGATATTCACATTTCTTCCTCCAAAGGCTGGGTTAAATGTATATAAGGGCAGATTGTTTTGGGGGCAGGAAAATCAGGAATTTAGAAAAGAAGTACGGTTTTATAGAGTGGCTATAGAAATGATCAACGGAACAGCTAATTCTTAAGTAACGAGTTCCTATGTGTCCTTGGTGTCTTTTGTAACTCCCTCTAATTCAAAAATTCAGAGTAGAAAGATCCAGGACCAGATGTTGCATTTAGCCGTAATACTGGTTACTCTATTCATCATGGGACATGGGAGACCTACAAATCCCTTAAGTCCCAGAGAGATAAAAACTTCTGGGTCTTTTTTTGGGTGTCACCAGCCTTGATGGCCAAGGGCATTGTGGATCCTAGAGAAATGGCTGTTGGAATCTGCCCATCCCAGTTATGCTATCTTTCTTGCTCAGGGCTTAGCATGAAATCTTTGGGAGAAAATTTGGCCAGCAGTATATTCCCAGTCATTGTGTGTGATGACAAGAATACAACTTGATTAGCCACTGAAACAGGAGTCTGTTACCTATCTGGGATGGAGAGCCAGTCCGGACACAATTATATGCCCACTTAAGTGTTAATGGATGCTGTGAAATAATAATGGACCTTAAAAAGAGGTACTAGGACAAAGGTTAGTAGTAAAGTTGTACATATTTCCAAAACATTAGGCAAAGTAAGCTCTTAGTGCTGAGATATTTGACAACAAGATACTTTATTGAATTGGTAGTACAGTGGCTATTTTTTTTTTTTCTGGTTGTCTGTCTTCCATCTCTATAAATAATGAAGAGTGACTGTACTTAAAAAACAAGCAACTGAGTTTGATTTACATACAGTGCTTCTGCCTGTCAGCACCGACTCATTACTTTCATTGCCTTTACCCATTTACCCACTTTAAGCAGATGGCATATAGTAGCAGAGTTCAGAATTTTTAGCAAGTTTTCACAGCTGTGCACTTTTCATTTATTTCAAGCAAGCTAGGACTCCAACTAAGTGTTCATGTACTGCTGATCCCAGCTGTAGCAAGAGCTTTGACGGAAATAGTCTCTGGCTCTCTGTGTCTGTAACTTACTCAGAAACACTTATCTTCCCTGCACTGAGGTCATGCTGTGGCATGAACTTAGCTCCAAGCAGATAGAAATTCGGATTTCATAGTTTTGGTTGTATTTAAAACAAAATTGCACATAACAGCTTGGAAGGCCACACAACTCATGGTCTACAGTGAGGCAGTGTATTTGTTTTCTTTTTGGTTGTATTAGTCCATTTTGTGTTGCTTTATTAACAAAGTTCTTGGAACTGGGTAATTTAAAAAGAAAATGAAATTTATTGCTTACAGTTTCTGAGGCTGGGAAATCCAAAGTCCATCTGGTGGTGGCAGCAGTGACCCAGGGGTGTCACATTGCAAGCTGGTAAAAGTAGAGAGAGCAGAGCAAGCAAGAGAGACATGCTCTCTTCTTTTAAAGCTCTCAGAACCTCACCCTGACCACCATTTTTAATGTGTTCACTACAGCAAGGTCCTACAATCTAATCACCTTTTCAACGCTCCATCTTTCAATTACCATAATAGGATTTCCCACCCTCTTAACAGTCACAGTGGGGGCTAAGTTTCTAATACATAGAACTCGTGGGGACACAATTCAAGCCACCAGTGAGTTTTGGGGGGACATAATTCAATTCACCACATTCTGCCCCTGCCCCCCCCGTAACTCACGTCCTTTTCATATGTAAATACGTTCATTTCATCCCCAAAGTCTTGTTTCAACTCAAAAGTCCAAAGTTCAAAGTCCCATCTATGAAATCAATATGTTATCTACTTCCAAGATACAGTGGTGGGACAAGTATAGGGTACATATTACCATTCCAAAAGAGAGAAATAGGCCAAAAGAAAGGTATAACACATCCCAAACAAGTCTGAAACCCAGCAGGGCAGACATTAAATCTCAAAGCTGGCAAATCATGTACCTTGACTCCATGTTTGACCTCCTCTGCACACTGGTGCGGGGATTGGGTCCACAAGTCCTTGGGCACATTTCACCTCTCCCAGGCTGGTGTCCCACTCTGGTAGCTCCATGTGTCTGGGGTCTCTATGGCAGTCCTGCTCTCACAGCTTTACTAGGCATGGCACTGTTGGGGTTTCTCTCCTGCAACTCTGACCCCACATTTCTGCTCAGCATTGCTGTAGGGAAGGCTGTCTGTGATGACTCTGCCCCTGCAACACATCTCTTCCTGGGCCCCCAGACTTTTCCATACATCCTTTGAAATTGGGGTGGAGGCTTGCAGTGGATTGAGTTATGTCCCCACAAAACTCATTTAAGCTTGAATTGTCTCCTAAGTTTTATGTATTAGAAACTTAGCCTCCACTGTGACTGTTAAGAGGGTGAGAAATCCTATTATGGTAATCGAAAGGTGGAGCCCTGAAGAGGTCATTGGATTGTAGGACCATGCAGTAGTGAATGCATTAAAAATGGTGGTTGGAGCATGGTTCTGAGGACTTTAAAAAAAGAGGAGAATCTGTCTTTCTCTCTCCTTCCACCATCTTGCAATGTGAGACCCCTGAGTCACTGTCTCCACCACCAGATGGACTTTAGACTTCCCAGCCTCAGAAACTGTAAGACAAATAAGTGTCGTTTTTCTTTATAAATTACCCAGTCTCAGGTATTCTGTGAGCCTAAACACTTCACACCATATGGACACCACCAGGGCTTCCGGCTTGTATCTTCCAAAACTGTGGGTCCACCCACACCTGGGGCCAATTAAGACATGGCTGGAGCAGCCAAAGCAGCTGAGGTGCTAGTGCTGGAAGCAGCTTCCTCAGGTGGTCCTGAGCAGTGAGCCTGTGGAGGGTACCTCAGGCCTGTTCTCTAAGACCATTTTGTCTCCCTAGGTCTTTGGGCCTACAATGGAAGGATTGGCCCCAGAGGCTTCTGTGATGCCTTCAGGACCCGTTCCCCCTTCTCCTGATAATCCCTTTTCTTTGTACTAGTCTTCTTAGCTAATGGTCGCTGAGTTGCACCATTGCATGCTCTGCTTCTCTACCACATGGCCAGTGTGCAAATTTTCTAAATTTTTACACTCTGCTTCCCTTTTAAATTCTGGCTTTATGTTGTGCCTTTGCTGCCATAACTCAGCGTAGGCTGTTGTAAGTAGCCATGTGGGTGCAAATTTTCTAAATTTTTACACTCTGCTTCCCTTTTAAATTCTGGCTTTATGTTGTGCTTTTGCTGCCATAACTCAGCGTAGGCTGTTGTAAGTAGCCATGTGGCTTCCTTAATGCTTTGCTGCTTAGAAATTTCTTCTGCCAGATACTCTGGTTCACAACTCCTAAGTTCCAACTTCCACAAAGTTCTAGGGCATGGACAGAATGCAGCCAAGTTCCTTACCAATTCATAGCAAGGTTGATCTTTGCCCCAGTTTCCAAAAAACTTCTTATTTCTATCTGAGACCTCCTTAGAACGGTCTTTACAGTCCATATTTCTATCAGCATTCTGCTCACCACCACGTAACCAGGCTCTAAGACGTTGTAAAATTTCCCTCGTCTCTTTGTCGTCTTCTGAGTCCTCTAAACTCCTCCGACCTTTTTCTAACACCCAGTTCCAAAGCTGCTTCCACATTTTCAAGTATCTGTTATAAGCAACACCCACTTCTCTATTATCAATTTTCTGTATTAGTTCATTTTGTGTTGCTTATTAACAAAATACTTGGAACTGGGTAATTTAAAAAGAAAATGAAATTTATTGCTTACAGTTTCTGAGGCTGGGAAGTCCAAAGTCCATCTGGTGGTGGCAACAGTGACCCAGAGGTCTCACATTGCGAGATGGTAGAAGCAGAGAGATCAGAGCAAGCAAGAGACATACTTCCTTCTTTTAAAGCCCTCAGAACCATGCCCTGACCACCATTTTTAATCCGTTTACTACGGCAAGGTCCTACAATCTAATCACTTCTTCAAGGCTCCATCTTTCAATTACCATAATAGGATGTCCCACCCTCTTAACAGTCACAGTGGGGGCTAGGTTTCTAATACACAGAACTTGTAGGGACACAATTCAAGTTCCAATGAGTTTTGGGGGGACATAATCCACTACAGTGGTGTTACAGCATTGCTCATGCTCTCTGTCTCGGGACTTTTGATTTGCAGATGCTAATGCTGGAGACCGTGGACAGACCAATAATGCCGCTTCTGCATCAGCGTCCAACTCCACCTGAACACTCCTTAGCAGCCAGCTGCACAGGAACAGCCACCAGTTACTTGAGTGCCACTCCGCAACACTGGTCACGTTTGGAAAGAAAATTAAAATGAGAAAAAAACCTGTTCATTTTAGTGTTCAATTTTTTTATTATTATTGTTGTTCTTATTTAACCTTGTAAAATATCTATAAATACAAACCAATTTCATTGTATTCTCACTTTGAGGGAGATCCCAGGGGTGGGAAGGGTTGTGGGGAGGGGGAAAGCGGAGCACTAGAACACACAATCTCTCTCCCATGACAATCTTTTTTTATCAAAAGTCTGCTGTTGTATACTTTAAAAACAGGACTCCTGCCTCACTCCCCTTCCACAAAAGAAGAAAACCTTGTTCTGTGCTGAAGTTGTTTTTGACTTTTTTTTTCTTCTAAAGTCTAGTGTAAGACTTTGGTATAGTGCACAGCTTGAAATTGGTTGGGAGCTTAGCAGGTATAACTCAACGGGGACTTAAATATCACTTGTAAAATTAATCCATATCCTTGGGTATTTGAAGACTTGCCTTTGGCATGTTGATGACAGGTGTGGCAGACAAAAAAAGAAATGTGTATCATTTGTAACCCAGGGAGGCCAATAAAATTTGAAACTATAAGGGGAAGAGTCCTAATTGATTTGTTAAGGTTTTGTTTTGCTCTTAATCAGTGCTAGTGGTGAAGAAGCTTGTATAGGAGGCTGCCAAAGGAGGAGCAGCAAGCAGAACTGTGGCAAATGCACTCTATGAGTCGATCTTTGTTTGCTTGACCAAAATTCTCTGTAAATCTTAGTACAGTTTTAAACTAGTGGCCCAGGAGAAGACTGAAAGGGGTGTTGGGCAGGACTCTCTGGCTGCAGAAGTCAAAGGCCAATGAGCCTAGAGGAAGGAGACAGGCCGGGGACAGATCTCACCACTGTGAATGAATTTGTCCAGATTTTTTCTGAAGTTGCTTCCCTTCGAAAGATACACTTGAGATGTGAACTGTAACAGTCTACTGGTTTATTTTTCATGTTTTTTAACTGAAAAGTTAGCTTGCAGAAATTGCCACATTCTACACATAGTTCTAATTTGAAATCCAAATCTAGAATCTGTATTTAATTTCAGCTTTTTTTAAACCTTGTGCTTTTTAAATGTATTTATTGATGCATGTCCGGTAGGCCATTATGATTTTAGATGGTAGGAATATTAAAAACTACACATCAAAATGATAAACAGTCACTTGTACCTGCTGACTTTATAGGAAAGCATTTAATTATATAAATGTGTGTATATATGTTATATATACATATATTCAATACTGCCTTTTTTTTCTTGTCTACATCAAAATTGATTGGTTGAAGCATGACAAGAATGTTTCCCCCCACACCCAGTTAAGAGTTTTTGTTTCTGTTTTCTTTGTATATCAGTGAATGATACAAGAATTGGTCTCTGTTTTTGGAGAAAAAGCAATATTCCTTGGAAAGCAAGGAGGATTGAAGGATTATGTTTGCAGTGAGGGAATAGATGTTCACAACTATTTTGTTTTATACTTTTAAGGTTGACATCTATGTGGGCCTTATATACATATACTCTAAAATGAACCTTAGTCACCTTGGTGCTTATGGGCCATTACTTGACCTATGAATCTTTAAGGCACAATCAGTTGTACTTTACATTTAAAGATCACTTGAGTGATGGCCGCCTTTCCCTCCTACCCACTCCTTCCCCACACACCTTCCAAGTTTAGCTGATAATTGTAGGGCTGCAGATCTGAGCCCTAGGTTGTATGTAACCTCCCTTCACACTCCTTAGGTCATGTTAGGGGTCTCGCCCTCCAGCTGGTTCAGAAGTAGAGTCTCTGGCAGCCCTCATGCAGGCCCTAGCCCCCTGTTCTGCTTCTTAACCATGTGCATGACTCTCCAAGAGAGTCTTGCTGCCTGCTGAAGTGTACCGATACCCAGAAAGACAGTTATGAGCCATTTTAGCTTTCATTCACTGTTTAGCTAAGCTCTTAGGCCACAAAAGGGGTTTCTCAAACCTCTGGTTATATCAGAGTTCATGAGAAAGGAAACATGCTCAGTCAAACCAAATCAAACAAATTGAATTTTATGTTTTATAAAGTGCTTCTGAGTGTTAATTAAGATTTGAAAGAAGTCTGAAATCAAAGTATTTGGCAACATAATTCCTTAAAGGGAATTGCTTTGATTGACCGGTTTCAGAAAGGATTTATAAAGAATCTGAAAAGGCAGGTCTGTGACAGAGAAATAGACCTGCTTTCAGATCAAACTGCCCAGCCAAATGTTTGGATACAGACACTCTTCTGGACTTGGTATACTTGCTAGAGTCCATAAAAATTAGTGCTTGTTTTAGGAAACACCTTTACCCCCACAAATGGGGTAAGAGAAGAAGAGAGAAAAGTCAGATGCTTTTCTCTTGTGTGTGTGTGTGTGTGTGTGTGTGTGTGTGTGTGTGTGTGTGTGTGTGTGTGTGTGTGAGGGCTGAGGTGCATGATTTTTCTTTCTCAAGGATCATGATAGGATCACAGAACTCTTTTATACAAGTGAGATCCAGGTCTCTAAATATCTTTTTGTAAATAATAATAATAATTAAAAGCTCCTCACCAAATTCAAGCTTGTACATTATATTTTCTTTCAATGTTTTAAAATTTGTTTTATTGTTTTGTATGTAAATATGTGGACCCAGGAACTGTTATTAATGAGCAAAAAGTTACTGTTCAGGGCAGTGATTCTGTTTAATAATCAGACAAAATGTAGACGAGCTTTTTAAAGCCATATAGTTTTAACTCTGTACAGTAGGTACCGGCCTGTATTATTGTAACAATAACTCTAGCAATGTATAGTGTATCTATATAGTTTGGAGTGCCTTCGCTTCCATGTGTTTTTTCATTTGTTTGTTGTTGTTTTTCACTTAAAATTTTAATTGGTTTTCTTTATCCGTGTCTCCCTGTCCATCCCCTTTCTCTTTGAAATAATAACTCACTCTTAACAGTATCTTTGCCCCTTCCACAGTTAAGTTTCAGTGATACCATGCTCAGGAGTGGGAGAGGAAACTGTGTTCATAATCTCATTTCGTTCAATCCCTACCTTTGTTTTGGTTTTGAACGTCTGTTTCCTCCTCAGTAGCAGTGACCGGTTTTGTTTCATACTGAGTCCATTCAGGGACTTAGTGTAGCACCAGGGAGCCCTAGAGCTGGAGGATATCGAATAGATTAGATTTTGCTCGTCTCTTCCACAAGCCCTAACCATGGGTCTTACGAACAGCAGATTCTGGGAGCCTTCCATGCGCGTGCTCTCCTCCTTACCTACTTCCCTCCCAAAAGAGAGGAGGAGAACTGGATTTTTATAAATTGAAGTTTCTTAAAATTGGGTTTTGATATGTCAGTTGTCTAAAATGCTGTAGTGCAATTACTAGCAATTACTGCACGGAGTGCTGCCGTGCCAGTAGAGGACTATGGTTTTAACAAGGAGCTCTTAGTCCATTCCCTCCCTTCTTCCATTTCTACCCCTGTTAAATGAAATGTCATTCTAATTTCTTTTTTAAAAATCAGTTTAATTCTTATTGTGTGCCTGACATGAAGGCCTTTATTGAAAGAAAAAAATAGAAAGTATTTGTTTCTCCTCCAACTACTCCATATATGATGTCTTGAAAAGAAAAACAACAAACTGTACCAAACCAAAGGTTGCTATTTATGAAACATCATGTGTTCATTCCAGCAAGGCAGAAGACTGCACCTTTTTTCCAATGACATGTCATTTTTTAAAGTCCTCTTAATTTTTAGACGTATTTTTGGTTTGTGTTTTAACAAAGTATGCCTAACCAGTCATCTTGTCTGCACCAATTCAAAGGTTTCTGAGACGACTATTATATTCTCTATCCCTGTGGTTATAAAGACACTGGCTTTTCACTTATTTTTCCCTTTCCTATTTAAAGGATTTAACTTTGGAATCTTCCAAAGGAAGTTTGGCCAATGCCAGATCCCCAGGAGTTTGGGGTTTTTTCTTTGTTTTAAACCAAAATTTTATCTGATTCCTATTGTTCATGTTAGTGATCATCTAATCACAGAGCTGAACACTTCTCCCCTGTATAGGAAAGTAAGCATGCTTTACAATAAAGTCTGCCTTTTCTGGTAAACCTGAGCCACTGAAAATAAGAGGCAACTAGAAGCACAGTAGAGTCCCAGACTAAGGTCTACCTTTGAGAGGCTTTGAAAGTAATCCCTGGGGTTTGGATTATTTTCACAAGGGTTATGCCATTTTATTTAAGGTAGTTGCTCCGTTTTGCACCTCTGCAATAAAAGCAAAATGACAACCAGTACATAAGGGGTAAGCTTGACAAAGTAGACTTCCTTGTGTTAATTTTTAAGTTTTTTTCCTTACTATATCTGTCTACAGGCAGATACGGATAGATGTGTGAAAATATGCTTGCCTGTAAAATTTGCATTTATAAATGTGTTGCCGATGGATCACTTGGGCCTGTACACATACCAATTAGCGTGACCACTTCCATCTTAAAAACAAATCTAGAAAACAAAATTTATTATATATATATATATAAAGGACTGTGGGTTGTATACAAACTATTGCAAACACTTGTGCAAATCTGTCTTGATATAAAGGAAAAGCAAAATCTGTATAACATTATTACTACTTGAATGCCTCTGTGACTGATTTTTTTTCATTTTAAATATAAACTTTTTTGTGAAAAGTATGCTCAATGTTTTGTTTTGTTTTCCCTTTCCCCATTCCCTTGTAAATACATTTCGTTCTATGTGACTTGGTTTGGAAATAGTTAACTGGTACTGTAATTTGCATTAAATAAAAAGTAGGTTAGCCTGGAAATGAAATTAAAATTCACAAGTGTGTGGTCTTTATTTCAGTGCCCAGCCCTCTTTCTTCACTCTACCTATTTGCCACTGCAATACATAGTCACATCACCATCTCTGTTCCTCTAATTAGGGAAACATGAATCTTTGTTATAAAAATCAAGATATGAACACTTCTCGTTCTTTCAAATGATCTTATTCCATTGTGTAGCCCCAAGAGGTGCAGCTTCCATCTTGGAAACCTTTGGATTTGATGTAGAGGAAGCTTTGCAGACACTGTTTTGAAAAGAAAGAAAACATCCCTGAAAAGGACAATTTTTAAAACGTGTATAAGCTGCTGTCTTTGGTTACTGTGTTCACGGTTTGGTGTAGCTATATTTTCTTTTAACTTTCATCCTATTAGTAATGGTCTTTGGGGGTCTCTGTAAAATATATGAACACCACAAACAGTGGGGCTGTACCTCCCAGGTAACTAACACATGTTGTGTTTGAGTCTGCTCATTTCCAATACTGGATGATGTATGTAAATATGTTATGTCTCTTAGAGCAAAAAGAAACATTTTTTTAGGGCTGGCTCACTCTGTCAGGCCTAATCTAAAGGCTAGATATAAGGTCATGTGACTGCTGCTTCAATAAAAATCAAATTTATATTCGATAAAGTCTGGTCCTCTTTTTCTTTATTTCCTGTGGTGGTGGGGTTGGCTAATTCCACTAACATTTGTAGAATAGTTAAACACATTTGCCAGTGGGGGAAGGAGGGAGGATTGGATCAGCAAAAACATGTTATTTGCAGAATAGGCCTCCTGATGGGTATTGAAGTTTGTTTGTGATTCACTCCTATCTTGTTTAGGTCCTGCTTTAGCTGTTTGAATTGGGATTGAATTAAACAGTGTGTTAAGTATCCTGCAAGATATCCTCTTAGAATCCTGAAAGACTGCCTTTTCAGGTTCTAAATCCTTCCCAAAAGTACTAACCAAATCATCCCTTGGGATCGTGTTTCAGGAGAGCAGTGAGAGTGGGTGCCATTTTGGAAGGTGTTCTAGAAAGGTATTTAGGAAAAGAGAGATCAGATTGCAGATCCCTCTCATTAAGAAGGAATGGAAGAGGAAAGGAACATTAGAAAGGAAATGATCAAAAGTGAGGGGATGGTCACCCATTTCTCAGGTGTGGGAACATTTTCTCCATGCATCAGCACAGTCAGAGTTAGGAGAGCTATTCAAAGTGATTGACAGAAATCACTTTATGGAAAGCAACCAGGGGAGACAAGCTGCTGCTGAATATGGTGTGAGGAGGCCCATTAAGCTGTCAGGAGCTGGGAACGGATGGTTAATCAGATGTGTGTTCCTTGTTACATCCCCTCTATTCCAGAAAGGAGAGGTCACTCTGGGCCTTCCCACAAGAAGATTTGTTGTCAATGTCAAGACTTTAATTAGATAAAGTCTGGGCCAGGTAGAGAGAGGCTGCTGAGTGGCTCTGACTAATGGATGAGCAAGAAGGGATGCAGGTGTTTCCCCTGAGCTTTGGAGACTGATCCTATCCTGTCCTGACTGAGCCAGGACTTAGAGGACAGTGGCCACAGGGTTTCCTAGAAACTGATGCTTATAGTTCTACTTACTCAAAAGCTCAGGGAAGGGAGTAATAAATGCAAATGTTTGGCAGGGGAAAAAAAAAAGCTAATTCTGGCTCCTGGCCCTATAAACGTTAAGATTCACAAAGCTCCTGGAAGAAAGTATACTGTGTAAGCTCTTTGGTGCATCTAAGCTTGAATTTTAACTACTCCTAGGACTATGCTTAGTTTTTTATATAATCTTATATAAATTATATGTACATATCAATTCGATGTTTGGGGAACTGTCCGGATGTTTTTAAATGCATCTAAGCTTGAATTTTAACTACTCCTAGGACTATGCTTAGTTTTTTATATAATCTTATTTAAATTATATGTACATATCAATTCGATGTTTGGGGAACTGTCCGGATGTTTTTAATATCAACGCTGGGAGATGGAAGTTTTCCCTGCATCCCATCTTAATCTCATCTTAACCTTGCTTTACCCTAACTAGCCTGCATCTAACAAGTTCAGGCTCTTGAACAAATAGTACACTGAAAATGATTTCAATGGGGAAGGCAAGATGCTTATGATTTAGGAATACAGTTTAATGAAATGTATATTTCCTACTTAGAAATTTATATTTCAAATTATAAATGAGTCTATAATTAGACAAAAATTCCTGGGAGCAAAAGCAGTATTCATTGAGTTTGGAGAGAGGAGCTCTTTTTTCCCTCAGTTTCTTTTCTAAAAATGAGTGCCTTTTGATGTAAAAAAGGCTAGTATATCTGAGGGATGTCAGAGAAAATGTTTACCTTGATTTATATATATATATATATTTTTTTCCTTTTTGTCTTTTTTTCGTGACCGGCAACAGATTGCAACCCTCAGTGTCGCGCCCACACCTCGCTCAGCCAGTGAGCGGCCGGTCTGTATGTGGGATCCGAACCCTCGGCGGGAGCGCCGCCACACTCCCAAGCGGCGCGCTGTAGCAGTGCGCCACCGGGCCGGCCCCTTGATTTATATTATTGATGATTTCTTATGTTCTCAAAGTCTGGCCGGGTTCTTGTAAAATGGTAAAAGCTAAGCAATTATCTGTTTCTTAAAATTCAGTTACCTTGTAGCTTCATTTGCAACAAAATATTAGACATTTACAATTAATTCAATCACTATATTTTAATTGTAGTATGTACATATACTTTAAGTTTTAATATAGAACAACCACTTTATGAGCAAATCAAGATAAATAATTCATTTTTATGTTCTTACATCTTTCAGATATGTAAAGATCAATAATAAAATAAGTAGTAAAACTACGTGTGTGTGTATTTCAGTTTTCCCACTCCCAAATTATTTTCCCAGAAAAGAAGTCCCCCAAAAGTTTACATTTCTGGCCAAAAGATCAAAATTATTTAAATCCTCTTGTCTTGATTTGACATTAAACCCAGGAACATATTTGCTAAACCCAGCTCTTCGGTGTGGAATGCCTTATATTAAAGTGTAATTTGTGAGACTGCAAGAACATTTGTACTCACAGTGGCTATAAACAAGGCAGACACTTTCATACTATTTAGCTATAAGCGTAGCTGTGTGCACAGGGGTATAAGTTGCGTGCAGATGGTTCTGCTCTAGCATTTTTATCAACTGTCAGTGCAGGCTTGTCACAGAGCAGCCCCAGCATCTCCAGTCTCAGGAACAAACCCAGGCCCCAGTCAGATGGGGAGAAGACCTACCTGCACCAAGTCGCAATATGTACCCACAGCCACAGTTCATGCCCTTCCTCCCACAAACACATGTCCTAGGGAACACTCATTTGGGTCCCAGGTGCCTGCAGAACCCCAGTACAGCTCAACATCCACACAAGGAAATTCCTTGTGCTTCTTATGTCACTTATCACTTCTCTTTTTGATCCAAGTTATTTTGTGTTTCTGCTTTGTTTCCTTTTATTAACGATAAACTCTTTGAGGTCAGGATCCATATCTGAGTCAACATAGACCAGATGGCAGGTTGCATACTGTTGATGCTTAATAATGTGTTTGGATGTAGAGACACAATGATGTGCCCAGAACAAAGCATGACAAGCTTCTGACATTTGGAGCAGGCTTCCTGGCTTCTCTCTAGAAGACTCCCACAGATACTAGTGCACCTGCTGATGAGCACAGGCCTGGAATCCCCGAGCAGTGCACACAGGAGGCTGGGGCTGGGAATAAGTGGGAAGTGGGAGACAGGAGTATTAGAGGAAGCAACAAAAAGACTGAAGAAGCTAATGAACTTGGCTGTGGGCATAGACATTCAGATGGCGCAGCCCCTGTTGCCGCTTCCCCTCCCTGACCATAACACTTTGGTGGATCTGGGGATTTCTCCCCAAACTACAGGGCATTTTCTAAGGGGAGGGCAGCTTTGCCTCTCTAATGGGCTTGACCTATAGGCCAGTGCACTCTCCACATACGAGCCACAGTTTCACCCTCCACAGACTGATCTGCAGGCTGGAGGCACCCACGTCCCCTTCCTGAGGAATGCTAGCCAGCTGTGGTCACAGCAGTGAGTACTCCAGGCAGGCAGGCTCAGCAGGGCATTGTCGGCTACCTGCAGCGTCCATCCGTCTAGCCCCAGGAGTGGCGGCTCAGAGGGCTCTGGGCTGGCTGCCCTGTGGAGGCGCCACCCCCAGGGAGCCGCTCAGCCGTCCGTAATGCTGAACAACTCCTGCATGAGGGGAGTAGCGAAGGGGTGTATGTCCTGGATGCGCAGTAGCCGCTGGGTGTGCTGGGCATTGATGCTGCGGAGCTCGGTGAGCATAGCCATGATCTTCAGGAACAGGAACCTGCAGGCCAGCCAGAGGAAAGTGTGGGGTGCTGCCTGCCCTTTCCCCGACCCACCAACCCCGGGGCTGCGCTGAGGTCACACTAGTCTAATCTCAGGACATCATCTCAGGTCAGCCAAGAGACAAGGCTTAAGCTCCTCTTTCAGTCTGTGGATGAGAAGAGCGGAACAGCCTTCCAGGTACTTGAGGCGGGAGCCATACTCTCCCCACTCCCACCCCATCCACGGGGGTTGAGCCTTTGTACATAGAGACCCCAGTGGAAAAGTCCAGACATTGCAGGCACCAAATGCATGGGGTTAACTGGGGGGAAGGGGAATCACCGCCTTGGTGAATGTCCAGGCATCAGGACTGAGTAGAGCAGTCATGGTTAAGGGCTGCAGGCTGGAACCCTTGCTGGATCTAGCTTTGGGATCTAGTGTCTGAGACATATCCATGCCTCAGTTTGCCCATGATGGAAAAGAAAGCTAGCACCTCCAGGTTCCTGGCTGCATACCGAGGGGGACCGAGCAAATAAAGATGTGGCCGCCACCAGCATCCCAGGATGCTGAGCCAAAAAGAAAGCTGGTGCAGGCCAAGTAGATATTTGAGTTTTTAAGTTCACACTATAATACCCAGTGCTGGCCTTAATCCTTCATGGCCTTGGGCTCAGTGCATTCAAGCTCATCCCTGGGCTGTGAGCATCAGACTGGGGACTAGGTCACAGGAACCTCTAAGGACCAGTGGAATTGTGGCAGCCCCTGTTTCAGCCAAGTCCTGAGCGGCCTTCCTCTTTTGAGTTATGACCAAAACAAACTAAGGAGTTTCCTACCCCATTTACTTGTGTTTTTCCTGGGAAGTGGTTAGCTAGTGCTCACAGGCATGAGCTTTAGACTTGGTCTGGCTGAGTCCACCTCTAGATTCTATCCCCCTGGCTGGCTGTGGAACCTAAGCAATTGTCCTGACCCTCAACTCCCTTGCAGGACAGTGGTGGTGCCACCCTCAGGCGAGTGTTTTGAGGATTAAAGGTGAAAATAAACTGCTTGGTATCAGGACTGGCACTTCTCAACAAACGGTAGCCATGATAGATCTATTTGTGATTACCATCATTATTGTCCTGTCTTTACTGTCATCATGGTTATTACTGGCTATGGCTAGAAGACCCTGTAGGAGACTCAGGAGAATATCTGGCTGTTTCCACTATTGATGACAGGAGTGTGAAAGGCCCTGGACAGGCACGAGTTGGGCACGGCCTCTGGCCCTCCGCAGGTTCCCTCATTACTGGGCTGGTGCTGAGGCTGACCTGGCAGAAGGTCACAGAACAGGGCCCCAGAGCCCTGGTCATCAGAGGCTTCCCCGGACATGGCTCTAGTCTGCTCTCCTGGAGAGGCCCAGGCAAGCAGGGGCCTGGCAGGCAGGACCTGCGTCCCTCCCTGCTGTGCTCACCGGTGGGCAGGCTGGGGCCGATTGTATTCTATGTAGGCCTTCAGGGTGACTGCAAACTGCTCCTGCAGCTGGTCCACCACACTGCGCTGCACCACGCCTGGGCGGTCTGGGGGAGAAGGGGGACAGAAAGGCAGCGTGGTGCCAGCAAGGCCATGAGGGCAAAGACAAGCTCAGTCTGGCCTAGAGAAGGGGAATTGACAGCAAACCACCTTCCAGAGCCACAGTCACTGCAGGGGAGTGAAGGAGGACAGGGCTCTGCACCACCCCCCTGCCCCAAGGAGAAACCAGCCGAGCTCCCCCCGATGCCCCGGCTGCACATTGAGTGGGGAGCAAGACCAGTGGCTGGGGCATTCCCGGGGAGGGCATAAGAGGGTGTGGGCAAGCCTGGGGAGGCCGCACCTGGGGAGAAGAGGGAGATGGCCTGCATCAGCACATATTCCTCCTTGTGCAGCTGCAGCTTCTTCAGCATGTAGTGGAATTTCAGCATGGGCTCCAGTAGCAGTTGCTGGAAGCCACCTGTGGGTGGTGCAGGATGGTGGGGCAGCATCTCAGGAAGCTGACTCAGGCCCAGCCTCCCCGTCAAGGTCTTTTTTCCATCACCCAATTCCCCTGACCAGCAAGCCCAGAACATGCATATCCTGCAGTGGCTCCCTTCCTCCCACAGCTGTGGAGAGCAGGCAAGCATCTCTCGGGCACCTGCGGGGTCTTCCAAGCAGTAGGACAGCCGACCACACTCCCAGGTCCCGGTCTCCGCATTGAACACGGTGTTGAATCTCAGTTGGCACAGCTCAAAGGTGGCCCCCTTCAGCAGGGAGATCTGGTCGTCGATGGGCAGGTCCCTGGCAGTGAAGATGGGGAGGGGACAACAGATCCCTGGGAAGCTGCCTACAAGCCAGCACCAGCACCTACTCCCATAATCCAGAGACTGGGGGAGTGGGAAGGACAGAGGCAGGACAGGCTCCTTCCCCCGAGGATTACTGCAGCTGCTTTCTGGTTGTCTCCTCTCTCTCCCCGCACAACCCACCAAGCAGATTACTCAGCCCTACGATATTCCTCTGCTCTTCTGCACTGCAGGCACTCTCCAGTGCCCCTCAGCTTGCCATCCAGGTCCCTCACAGCCTGGCCCCATCTTCCCTGACTCCCTCTACCAACCTACAGCCGATGCCTTGGCTCCTGGTCCCTGGCCTCATACTTCCTGCCTCACTTTCCCCACTTGGAATGATTGTCCCTTTAGCATCACTTACTAGTCCTTCAGGTCAAGCTATGTCTTTGCCCCTCCCAGAAGTCTTTCCAGAGTGCAGAGTCCTTCTGCAAGTGCCACTCCTTTGGCACGAGCTCCAGGAAGCGGGGATATTGGCTTCCTGTGGTCTATGTTGGATTTAATATGTACATACTTCTGCTGCTTCTCCCCAGGCAGCCTGCATGTCTTGAGCCCCACTCCTGGTGCTGAGCACAGGCCTGGCTCTGGTGGCTGCTTCATAAGCCTCTGACACTCATGATTACAGTGCCACCCCTCCCCTCCTGCAGGGACCTCTCCCTCCCAACCTGGTCTCACAAGCCCCCCAACCCCCTCCCCAAGAAGGCATTCCTGACAAGGAGGAGGCTCTGAGAGCTTGGGCAGCTGCTCTGGCTTTGGTCTCCTCAAGAATTCAGGCTCTGTGCTCCTCACACCCACCTTTCTTTTAGATCCATAATACTGAGCTACAGATGCCAGCAGATGGATCTTATTCTATGTCTGCCCATTGCCTGGCTCAGGACCCAGTGGGTAGCTGGCTCTGAAGTCTGCACTCTGGTCCTTCCAGATCTGCTTTCCACCACCCACCACTGATTAGCTGTGACCTAGGGTAAGTTCCTTAACCTCAGTGAACCTCAGTTTCTATCTGTCGAGTGAAGGGAATAGTGATGACTAGTGTCATTGTGCTCAAAACCTGTGGTCATGAGACAGAGCAAGTGACCTCCTGACCTCCTACCCTGGTGTTAAACTGTGGGTCAACAGATGTCAGCAGGTATCTGCAATGCCCAAATTTGTAAGTAGGCTTCTCTCCCTGCCCCCTTGACCTAATTTGCCACAACCTGAACCCAACTCCACTCTGTTGCCACCCTCACCCCGTTAAATAAGCCTTGTAAGTCACCCACAGGCCACAGGGGACCTGTGGGCTGCAGGAATGTAGCCTGCCCTCTGCCTGCTGATGAAGTCAGGGGCTGCTTGCGCATATGATTCAGCCCCACTTGACCAGGCTTGGCAAGGCAAGGTGGCCTACCCAAGGGCAGACACACCCAGCCCCATCTCCAGCCACAACAGACTACATATTGTGGGGATGAGGTTCCCAGCATACCACAAGGTTCCTGGGTCTCCTGCTGGGCCCAGCTGCCCCGTGGCTGTTGCCTCCATGCCCGGCCCCCAGGAGACCCGGCCCCAGGGAGACCCAGCCCTTTGGCTCTCAGGACCACCCATCCTCCCCATGGCCTTCTCAGCCCTCTCGTGGCCACAGACTGCTGGAGACCCAGTGTCTGTTCCTCTCTCCTTTCTTCTCTCTCTGGACTTCCTTCCCTTTCCTTCCAACTCATTCTTTGCTGTGGAACTGTCAACTTGTGATTCCCTTTTAGGGAGGGAAATTACGATGCAAATGTCCACCATGTGCTGGGTGCTCTTCAGATGTTTTTTCATCTCATATGGCACCCCTGCAAGGTACTCTTAGCTCCCATCTAGCAGATGGGGAGGCCAAGACACATTAGGTTAAATGGCAGGCTCACAGTCACAAGGTAATGAGCCACACAGCCAGGGCTCTATTCCCCAGCAGCACGGAGGGCACTGGGGGAAGAGAGAAAGGAGGGTCTTTTGGCACCAGCATTCCCAAATTCAGGGGGATCTACCACAGACCTTTTGAACCTCTTGGCCGTTTCCCGTTCCTTTCCACACCCATCCCTCCAGCCTCGATGTCCTACCTGAAATAGGAGATGACTTTGGCAAAGTTGATGATGCCTTTGAACATGTAGGTTGACATGTCAGCCATGTGGGGCAACAGGGAAAAGATCTCTTTCCCGCCACAGTCAGCTGGGGGTTTGTAGTTCCAGACGCTGCCATCCTCCCCCCGCAGCTTTAGGGAGACCTTCACAGTGCACAGATCTTCCCTGATCTGACTCCACTTGGCAGCTTCTTCCCCCGAGGAGGTCTGCAGAGACTCTGGAATCTCACGGCCATTGCTAAGCACATCCGGCAGCTGAGACACAAGCCAGGAGGTGGAAAGAGGAAAGACAGCATGTGTTTTCACAGCTAGGTCCCCACACAGGCCCGGGAGGCACAATCACAGGCACTCAGTCCTGTGCACACACGTGTGTGCACACACATCCCCTCACACAGCACTTGTGTCTTCTCTCCGGATCTATGAATGAGTTACATGCGTCCCTGCCCAGTCAGAATGGAGGGTGAGGAGGGCCTCTACCTATGCTGTGTCCCAAACATCTCAGACATTGGGCTCAGGAGACTCGGAGAGAAGAGGTAGGGAGCTACAGACGGAAAGAGCAGATCTGAGGTCACTGAGCTAATCTAGTTCTCTGAGCTGGGCAGGTCACCTGAGATCCCTGTGAGCACAGAGGGGAGAGAGAGTGCACCGAGAACACAGAGGCAGTGAACTTTGCTGGGATCACTACAAACACCAGTTCACAAAGGTCACACCCCCACTAGGTCTGGACCCTGTCCTCATAAAGCCCTGAATGAGAGGAACACTGGGGAACCTCTCAGCTTTCCCTCCATTTATCACTTAGACACAATTCGTACCTGCTATGGAAAGAGAAGGCAGCAATTCTCAAACCAGAGCCTGCGTGGGAATCACCTGGGGGTCTTGCCCCAGCCCAGAGCTTCCGATTCAGGAGGTCCGGGGTGGTCTGAGAATGTGCATTTTTAACAAGTTCCCAGGGGATACTGACGCTGCTGACCCAGGGGCCACACTTTGAGAACCCTTGGGAATGAGACGGGTTTTGAGGCGCTAGCCCAGGAGCAGAGCCAGCTCTAAAGCCTCCTACCCGGAAATTCTTGAAATGGGAGAAGGTGGTGTCAAAGGTCTTCATCTGAGCGTCCATCAGCTCCCTGATCATCATCTGCTGCTCTTCGGTCAGCCCCCGCACTCCCAGCCACTGCGTCCTCATCCGTTCTCTCTTCTTCATCTTGATCAAGGCCCGTCTCTGCTCCACGGCGGCGTCAGACATGATCACTGCAGGGACAGCAAGCAGGCTCAAGTATGCGTGTCCCTGGTCAGCCTCCAGCTCCCTGGGGAGCCACTGCGGAACCCTCTCAAGGCAGCGGAAGGCGGTAGGCGAAAGGGACAGTGATGGTGACAAGAAACTCTCCCTATCTAGACTTGAGAGGTCTGTGGGTTCCTCTGGAGAAACACTTGGGTGAGGACAGAGGTGAGGTGCAGCTAGTGTGCCGCCCTCTGAGGTGAGGCTTGTGAGGACACTGTGGGACTGTAGGAGTGTGGTCTTCAGAATCAAACAGAGCTGGCCTGGCTTTGCCTGGCTAACTGTGACCTTAAACAAGCGCCTTAACCTCTTCTACTTTGTAATCTGAATAACAGTGCGTACCTCACACTGCTGCTATGATGTGACATTCATGCAGAGTGCCTAAGATAGTTCCTGGTACGTAAGAGATGCTCAATAAATGGCACCTGGTATTATTCTTTTCTGGTGGGATATATACCAAAATGACTCTTCAGAGTCCCCCAAGTTCTCTAAGTCTCCAAGACCTCAGAGAGCTGAGGCCACTGCTTAGCAAGAAATAGCAACTCCGGCCACTTCCTATATAGCCTGGAGCTTTAGGGTCTTCCATGGATTCCTGGAGCCCACTCCTGTGTGCAGAGCAAAGCTGTAGTTTCCTTAGAAGGGAGAGATCCAGGACGTCCGTCTGCAGGGACAATCCAGTGAGGGCCTCACTCTCTCAGCTGGTTGCAGAAAAGGCTCTCGGCTAGCATGCCCAGAGAACATGTCCCCTGGAAGAGGCAGCCCACAGCCTTGGGCCACTCTGTGTTCGATGGAGACAAATACACATTGGCAGTTTCTAGCCTTTTCCCCAAGAGCTTCAATTTGAGTATTAAATATACTCAGATTAATACAAATATACCAAATATACCAAAGTGAAGCAGGTAGAACGAGAACACCCAGGTCCCCTGTCTGCCAACACTTCCCCTATAAGCGTCCAGGTCTGGGGCAGCCGGTAGGTGCTAGTAGCTGGGATGTTGGGGGTCATATCACACCGTGTGTATATCCTGCTTCCTCTCTCAAGTTCATCTCCCCCCAATTTGCTTACAACAGAGTGAGGACAATTAAGGAGGAGACAGAAAGAATCACGCAGGAGCAACTGAGCGGAGACCGGGGAAAGGCCCTGGCCAGAGATGCCCACCACACCTCCCAGAGCAGAGAATCAGGATGCCCGCCATCTCCCAAGTCCCTCCGGGATAGGCCCTCCGCGCTGCGGGGAGCCGAGCTGAGCGGCCACCGCCCTGCAGGGGCCTCCCGTCGCGCGCGCACTCGGCACACCCGCCCGCGCCCCCCCCCCCCCCCCCCCC